CCCCAAAACCCCAAAACCCCAAAACCCCAAAACCCCAAAATAAAGGAGTTTTATTGAAATAACATTAAAACTAGGTAGTAATGTCAGAGAGTTTTAAAGTAAACTTTGAAAGCCTGATACTTGATCAGAGCCTCCAAGAGAAGTAAGAAAGCCTTAGACTAAAAATACCTCATATCTCTCCAATTTTTCATCCTTTAAAAAATCCTTTCGTACTTTATCCAACCCGTTAAACCAATTTCTGCATAGAGATATCAGATCCTCATGTAGTAAAAAGAAGACAAAAAAGATGAAAATACTCCCTAAGAGCTCAAAATTTTGCTCTAGCCACAAGATCCATAACAAAAAGATCAAGTCCATACTGAGTAACCCATTGGTTTATTTTTATAGATTTTGCAAGGAAGAATAGAAATGTAAATGTTGTTATAATCCTTAGAGTTTCGCTGTCCCTCCTCCTTGTAACCAAATCCTCCCAGATGTCAGAGTAAGCCAGAAGTCTAATAATTAGAGAATCAGTAATATTTCAACCAAGTTACCCCAGATCGACCCAGAGTTAAAGAATAAGCTAAGCAAGAGTACTGATAAGGCCTCCTTTGAAACTCTGAATCCTTTTCAGATAAAGAACTCTAACTTGAGAGTGATCTTACATAAACTGAAAGAGACTAATAATCTCCACAGCGAGTTTATGTCTAAAAAGGCACTCCACAGGTCATCTCTCAAGAGCACTGCTCCTCCTTCACCCAAGAGCCAAAAGGATTACCTGAATGATTTTATCACCAAGGTGATAAATAAACCTAGCATTGCAAATGATATAATAAAGTCAGACATCGGGTATGATCCCAGGCAAAATATAAAGATTCTTGCACTTCTCTACGAGAAGTTCCTCCAAGCCAGAGAGGTCCTTGAGCAGTCAGAGGAAGCCAAGAAGCCACATCCAGTGGATGAGAAGGTCAAAGAGGTAGATTTCCCTGAGAAAAATGAAAGTGGAACTGAAGAAACACTTCTTAGGTTGATAACTAAGAATAAAAATAAGAGTAACTTGGAAGTAAAATATTTTAGATGATAGAAATATGTCAAAACTTGAACAATTTCTAGACCTTGGAGAAATTGAACAAGCAAGGAGGGAATTATCCGTAAAGGCTCGGATTGAAGAAGACCTCAAGACGATCGTTTCAAATGTAGTCGACAAGAGAGTCTACAGCATGAATGTTAAAAAGGGTATAGAGTAAGAGTCACCTAGTGTAACTTATAAGGGTTTCAGAAGCTGCTGAACATCAGAGAAGCCTAGTTGCCAAGCTCAAAATGGAGAGGGAAGAGCACTCTCAAAATATTGTTGGTGTCTTACACAGTCAAATCAATATAAAGACTTTTGAAAATTTTCATTGATGTCTAGATTATTTTGGAGGCTTCTCTTTAAAAAACTATAGCCTTGCTACTTCTCATGTGATCATGGTAGAGATCATCCGAGAGCTCTCTCTTGAATGAAAAGAGAGGGGAGATTTCTTCTCAAAGATCCTTGAGCTCCACAAGTTTGAACTCCTATCACTTGTGAAAGAACTAGTAGAAAAATACGATAAGAAGTTACACAAGTTATCCAATGATTTCAAGGAAATAGTTGACAAGTGAAGTGATCTCGAGAGGATAAATGAGAACCATTTAAACACTATTATTAACCAAAATGGCAAGAACATTGAACTTGAAGAGCGCCTAGCATCGACCCAGGACATCCTCAGCAAAGAAGTGCCCCACAGTAATTGGCTTGAAGAAAGATGGAAGACTCACAATAAAATTCTTACTAATTTTCTGCATAACTTTGAGACTTGATCAGACCGCCAGAGGTTTATCTATAGTGATGTTCACACCGAAGAGGTACTTCTCCTTACTAAAATGTAGGCTAAAATAGATCCTGAGCATGAAAAAGAGAGTCTTGTTCAGATCACCCAAGAATCCCTTGAGATTATAAAGAGTTTTATCAAATGTCTTAGGCAGAAAACTCCGAAGGAAGAGGAATTCGAAGCTATCAGGACTCAAAACAATGACTACGGATTTGAAATTGCCAAGGCTAAGCTAGAGATCAAGTCCAAGGAAGAAATCATACTGTCAGCTAATTCTGTTATGGAGAGATTAGACTTTGAAAAAGAGGAACTTAAGAATATGTGACAAGAACTGAAAGAGACTTCAAGCAGGCAGAAAGCTGAAATTAAGGAACTCAGGAAGGAAATCTATGACTTGAGGAATAAATCTGTAGCTCATCAAGAAGTTCAATGTCATATTATCAAAGAAGAAGACGCTTCGGTGTCAAAGACTAGTGCAAAAATAGGAAATTGAGGGACTGTAATTCTTTTACTTAAAATATAGTCTATATCTAACAAAGGATTCTCTCTTCAGAGTAAAATGAAGAAAAAGATGTTTACAAAATTACAAAAGAACATGGCCAAGTTTAGAGCTGCTGTCAAGATGATCACTATTTTGGGAAGTGATCCAAAAACTATCAACAAGCCAAAGGAAGACCCGGATGATCCTAGGCAAATTTATTCAAGAATCAAGGAGATGAAAGAAAGTCAAATGAAAGGAAAGAAGAGTTTCAAGTCAATGGAGGTTAGAGGAGCCAAGAAATTACTAGAGCTGGTAGCAAACTTTTTGCAGGGTGTTTCTGCTAACACTGAATTTAATATTTCTGTATCTAAATTGTTCTATGACTTCGTAAATAAATAAATTTGGATACGACAACTGAGCACCAAAATATTACGAGAATTATCTTTATTCTTTGAAATTAAACTATCTTAAAGATGCAAGACTAGAGCTGATAGCGAAGTTCTTGGGAATATCTCAGCACAATCTTCCAAGACAATGCTTTAAGCACTACATCATGCTGATAAACAACTCAGGATACAACATTCAGGAGATTTTTAGCAAGGATTTCTTAAAATTTGAGGTTCAGTTCCAATCGTTGGCTAATTTTTGCAAGAAAGTTCTCTCAAAACGTGAGGAAACTATTTACGAGAATGCATTTGAGTCTATAAAGGAGCACTGTGTTGTAAAAACAGATGTTACCAAGATAAAGTCTCAATTCGACTTATCTCTCTACCAAATATACAAAGCAGTGTATGATAAGATGCTTCAAACTGCAGCATTGAGCGTCAATCAGTTCTTCAAAATTCCATTTGAAGGAAAACAAGATATGCATCAAGAGAAGTTAGTATCCTTTCTGAAGGATAAGCTCGAGCTTCCCTTTGCAAAAGAAAAAATTAGCGAAATGGTTAATTTGTTCTACATACCTAATGGAAAACAAACAGATATGATCAAACTAAAAGACATCACACATATTTATTGTGAGCTAGTGGAAGTGACTGTACCGTTTCATAAATATATTTCTATTGGTCTAAATGCCTCCATCGAGCTGGATAATTCTGTTAACTTATCTCTTGAAAGGATCTATAACCATTACTCTCACCCTGTGGGAGACGAGAAGGATGGACATCATATTTGGGGTATTGGAAGACTCGGTTTTAGTACTATTGCCAAGGATGCTCTCTGAAAAATTGACCAAATCAACCTCGAGGTCATGTTTAATGAGAAGATACAGGAAATCAAAAAGAAGCATCTTGACATACAAGCTTTCGTAGAGTTAGTAAAAGAGGAAAATATTATCAAAGATGTAGCCTATTTTGATAGAAAAACAACAGTTGATCTTCCAAAATTAGAAATGAACTCTTCTTTAACTGTTGTAAATGGTAAGAATAACGCCTTCTTTACTAATATTTCTCATTTAGATAAAAATAAACAGTCAAATAAACCAATCTTAAGTAAAAATAAGTCTGTTGCTAGTAAAAAGATTTCAGATTTAAGAAAGAAATCAATTATGCTGAGCAAGAAGGGATCTAAAATGTATAAGAAATCTTCTCTATCTAACTCATCAAGTAAGGATACTACTCCAAAGATGATTCAGAAAGAAATCTTGAAAGAGGACCTAAATGTGATTGAAATTAAGGAAGAAAATGGCGAAGTTACTTCAAGAAATCTTTAATTTAAAATTTTCTAAAAAATCTCACCTAATAGTTCAATTACCTAAATCACAGTTGGGGTTTTGGGGTTTTGGGGTTTTGGGGTTTTGGGGTTTTGGGG